CCGGTGTAGAAGGTGCTGCGTTTCCGAGTGTGCCTGAAGGAGCTTTGCTCTGCTCTGCTAATGTGGGCTGGGGATGGAGGAGGAGTGGAAGGGACATGCCTGGACACCTGGGAAGAAGGGTAGGGCTGTCCTGAAGCCTCATCTTCCAGCAGACCCTTCAAGAGCTCCTGTTCCGCTGCTCCTCTAGTGGGGAGAAGGCCGTTGAGACCTTGGAAAGCAAAGACCTGCCTATGGCCACTGAGGGAAGAGCCCCACATGTCCTCTCTGTGGCTTTTCCTAGCCAGGCTGGGGCTGATCTTAACAGAATAACAGGAGGGACTTTGGAGGTCTTCTAGTCCAGCCCCCCACCCCACCCCCAAGCAGGAGACCCTACAGCATTTTTGACAGAGGGCAGTCCAGTCTCTTCTCACTGTCAGGAAATCCCTCCTTATTTCCAGGTTGAACCTCCCCTTGTTCAGTTTCCATCCATTCTTCCTTCTCTGGCCTTCAGATGCTGTGGAAAAGAGCTTGACCCCCCTCATCTCTGGGGCAGCCCCTCAAATACTGGAAGATTGAACAAGGAAATAAAGGATCCATCTTTTTAATTTTTATTTTAATTTCTGAACAGATTAAGGACTCCTCCACCTCACTATCCCCTTCTCAACTGTAGGGCTGTTACAGTAAATCATCTGGATGGTCCTTAGAACTGTGGCTACACGTGTAAGTACCAGCTGCATCAATCCTTTGCTTGTCAGGGATTCCAGCGATTCTTTGCTTCCCAGGCATGAACAAGGACACGGGATGATACAAAGTGTAAGGTATAACCTGTAACATTTACTCATTTGAATGTACAACACTTGATTCCTTCAGTGTGTGAGAACAGGCACATTCTCACGAACACCAATGACGTAATGACTAACCAATTATTCTGCCTTGGAGACTTGTTAACCAATAATGTAACAACACGTAAAGTAGGTGAGAACCTTGTAATTCTTGAACTGACAGAGACTGCACTGTCCCTTCCCTGACGGACTATGACGGGTGGGCTGATGCCGTGGGACAAAGGCTTGTCAGGAGGCAAACTGACCCCAGGCACCCCGGGGGGCTTGGTAGGTCACCACTGGCCCCTTCAGTTGGACCTGGAAGCAACCTGGCACCCAATTCAGCTGCAGAGCAGAGGTCTCCTTTCATGCTCCCTCCCTCCTTTGGATAAATTGCCCAGGTGGCAGCATTTTGCACCAGCTGAAGCTTCGGGATACTTCTCAAGGGTGACCCCCCCCTAGTTGGTGTTGGAGTGGTCCAAATGGAAGATGACCAGAGCTTGAGTGACGGAGTGGATGGACTCCCTATGTGGGAAAGGGCATAATTGGTTGTGATCTGAACAACAATTGTCCAGCTCTGTTCTGGTTGATTGATCGATCGATCAATTGATTGAGGTTATTGAGTTGCGCTCATGGATTGGACATGTTGATAACGTAAAGCCCCTCTTACCTGTATGGCTGTCATCTTAGCCGGAGGGTTTCCCTCCCGGTTCCAACTTTGGCCCTGGCAGCTGAGTATCCAAATTAACCACTAGTGGTACCTGCCCTTTGCGTGGCAGGCTGAACTTCCAGGACTCAATGTAGCCCCCCCCCCTCCACCCCAGAGGTGGCATTCGGCAGGTTCTGACAGGTTCTGGAGAACGGGTAGTGGAAATTTTGAGTAGTTCGGAGAACCGGTAAATACCACCTCTGGCTGGCCCCGCCCCCATCCATTCTCTGCCTCCGGAGTCCCAGCTCCCGGAAATCCCCAGGGACAATGGGGATTTTGTAGTATCCTTCCCCTGCCATGCCCACCAAGCCACGCCCACAGAACCGATAGTAAAAACGTTTGAATCCCACCACTGCTGCACCCCCGATGGCAGGTGTTCATGGCAACTGTCTATATGGAGATTCTCAGTCATCCAGGTCGGAGCTTTTCCAAAACACAAGAGGACTTGGATTTTTTTTCCCTTGGAAACTTTTCATTTTTTATCCAAGAAGCTTCCTCAATTCTGGAGGACTATTCGGAACTGAAGAAGCTTTTTGGATGAGAAGCAAAATGTTTTGAAGGGACAAAACCCAAGAAATCCCAGTTGCCTTTCGGGAAAAGCCCATTTGTGCTCCTTGCAGCCAAACAAGTCATGTGTACATTTATAACAAGAGCCGAGGTGGCGCAGTGGTTAAATGCAGCACTGCAGGCTACTTCAGCTGACTGCAGTTTGGCTGTTCAAATCTCACCAGGCTCAGGGTTGACTCAGCCTTCCATCCTTCCGAGGTGGGTAAAATGAGGACCC